GTCTGAAAGGAAAGATTTTAGCAAGTGTGTAATCAGAATACAGTCATACACATGTAGAAGTATATTTGCATATAGCCAACAACCAGGTAAGACCACTTATATATAGAATGAAGAAATATGATGCTTGGAAAAGAATGGGTAGAAACAAAGTAAGTGGGGAGAAACATGTTGATACAGCTGGTTTATGTCTTCTTTCCTATCTTTCATAGGGCAGAACCTTTTTGGGGAGCTTGATTTTTGAAAAGGAAATAAAAATGAGAATTAAAGCAACCTATCAAGATGGAACAGTTATTGCTCAGGCTGAGTATGGCAGTGTGAATATAGGCGAAGAGGTGGCTAAGAAAGGATTTGCGGAAAAATGGAAACTCACTTCCACCACTAACGTCTGTGAGGAAAAAAAATTGGAACCTGGTCAGTTTGCTCTCAGGAACCTCAAAAGCCCCATTCCCTTGTGGGGACATAGATCAAATCAGTCAACCTTCAGCAGACCGAAGGGGCGCTTAAGTGGGAGGCTGGCTCTTGACTTGAAGAATGAAAATGATGCAGGAAATCATATGACATTTCCAAAGTAAGAATGTGGTGGGATTTTTAGTTTTAACTAATTTCTAATTCATGGTAGATGCCCTTGTCATAGTGGAATAGAAGCTGAGGCTTATGCTGTTGGAATCCCTAACTATGTCAGTGATTTTGAGGATGATACTGATTATTTGTTTTTCTCAAACATGTATTCATCTCTGCTTTAGCAGAATATTTTCATTAAAAACCATTTTGAAAGAAAAATCATTCCTGAATTGTTTAGTTTACGTATCAGCTTTTCATGCCAACTTTTTTGAATACATTTGTCAAAAATAAAAATCTGTCTCTAAATCTGAATTATTCAGGCACAGCCAAAATTTCAAATGAGATTTCAAGTTTTTTTGTCTGGCTTTAAGAAAATTTTAGTAAGTTTCAGGGAATTGCCTTTTCTTTTTTAACAAAAGAGAGCCTCTTTTCTTCTTCCTGTGAAAGCTTGTGATGAAATTCGATTATTCCAAAAGAAGTTTACTTTTTAGATCATTTTAAATTATCAACTTAAAGCAGAAAGCCATGTTTGATATTTATATATGCTAAAACATTATTCTGTATTATGATCCAAGCCTTGGTGATACTGTGTCTCGGATGATGTAGCTGTTTGGTGGGATCTTATCAGTGCTTTAAGTACGAAACTGTCAAATGGAGTGGAGGGTCATGGGGAGAAGGAATTGGAAGAAACTGATAAAGAAATGCTTTTTACTTTGTTCTCTACAGTTGATAGTGTTTTGAGGAAGTTGGAATATATTTTCTTTGAGAGTTGGAGGCATTGTTTTTTTTTTTTTTTTTGAGACAGAGTCTCACTCTCTTGCCTGGGGCGAGTGCCGTGGTGTCAGCCTAGCTCACAGCAACTTCAAACTCCTGGGCTCAAGCGATCCTACTGTCTCAGCCTCCTGAGTAGCTGGGACCACAGGCACGCGCCACCATGCCCGGCTAATTTTTTCTACAGATATTTTTAGCTGTTAATTTCTTTCCATTTTTTGGTAGAGACAGGGTCTCGCTCTTGCTCAGGCTGGTCTCCAACTCCTGAGCTCAGAACGATCCGCCCGCCTTGGCCTCCCAGAGTGCTAAGATTACAAGCGTGAACCACCGCGCTGGGCCGAGGCATTGTTTTTGAAGTATTTAGTTATAAAATCTCATTAGCAATAAGTTATTTTTAAATGTTGAACTAGGTAAAGGTTTTAGTTTCCAAAATTAACTTTAAGATATGGTATAGAAAGGGTAAGATAATTTAGTTTTGATTTGTGATCTCTGTCAGCCTTACACAGTTTGTTTTTTAAAATGAGTGAATTTGTTTTTAATAGGGAAAGTTTGGCTGTTGGTGACTTTAATTTAGGGTCTAATGTCAGC